TACACCAAAATCTCCCCCCTACAGTTCCAAGTCGAAGTTCTGTTTGAATATGCCAGAAGAACATCATAAATCGGAAGTTAAGAATTTGAATTTCAATCAGATCACGTTACACGGCCCGTGTAACACATGCCTTGCCATTACACGACCGTGTAATGACTCTGATGTGTTGAAAAGCTTCCAAAACGCGGCCGCGTAACGTATGCCTTGCCAAAGCGCGGGCCGTGTAATGACTCTGTAAGATAGTCAATCTCCAATTTTCTTCATTTCTTCAATTTAGCTCCGAAATTTCACCGAGAGCTTCCCTTGACCATCCTAAGCATGCTCCAATCTTCAAATCACCCTGAAACATCCACAAAAAATGGTGAAATATCGATAGATCCTCGATAATGTCCTTTTATGCAAAATATTATACTAAAAATGCAATGCAATGCTATAAATAAACATGAAATTAGCTTATGAAAAGGTGCAATTTATGCACCTAACAAATCTCCCCAAGCTTGAACCTTTTCTTGTCCTCAAGAAAACAAAATAAAAATTAACCTTGGAAGAGATGAATGCAAATGCAAATGAAGAAATGCAAACATAGAAATAAAAAGAAAGAATGCCTCAAGTTATTATCCCGACACATACTCATGATTAAAGAGTTGTCAACCTATACCCCAAACAAATACGAATGTACTGCATTCCAAATCGAGACAGTAGAAGACTTGGAACACAAAGATTTGCCAACCACTTGGATTAATTGCATAGAACCATAGTATAAGGCATCTCCTAGTAACTTTTACTGTCAAGGTAGGTGCATCTCAATCTATAGGGCGTGCTCACTGAAGCACTCAACTCGTGTACGCTCTCATTTCACAAGATGTGTGAACTCACTCCTATCAAAGAATCTACACTCGTTATTTAAGGTGGAGGGCACTCGGCTTCGGTAAGTGTAGTGGTGTTGATTATGATGGCATGTGCGGAATTAGAAAGATCTAGTGAATCATCATGTAAAATCAAGAACACAAGGAGTAAATAAATCTGTGTAAGCTCATATTAGATCTAGAAAGGATATACAAAATGGGTTTGTACAAAGTTTCTCTCTCTAGTCTAACACTCCAAATGGTTCCATACATAATGGGAGTCACTCACTTCCTATTTATAGGAAAGACTCAACCCATTTACACATACAAAGAGGAAAGCCTAAAACACTACATCCAAGAGTGACTTTGCATCTTAACATTCTCCCCCTCAAAGTTAGGATTGGATGTCTTGGCTTCAGTCTCCAACGAGCTAGCGCGATCAAGACCAAACTCCCCCTCGAAGTAACACCGGTCTTCAAAATCCGCAAACGAATATCCGAGAAACCCGCTTCGAATACCCATCATTCTCCCCCTTTTATAATCAAAAACTGATTATAAAACCCATTAAGGGTGAGAAGCGCTCGAGGGATAGTCTTCACGATACTCCCCCTTGATGTGTACCAAAAATGAATCACCAAAAATCTTGCACGGAAAAACAATCACGAAAAAGCCACAAAAATTTTCCAATTTATGAAAATTTTTGACTTTTTGAGTGAAAGTTGCAAGATTTTTCAAAAACCGGGTAGAAATTGTCACTTTCTGAAACTTGCAGGGACCCATTGCGCCAAAAACAGCCAAATATGCGAAACTCTATCCCATTTGCGAAACTGGGCATAAAGCGTAAATTCGCACAAACTGCAGGGACCAGAAATGAATATTCTCAATTTCTCAGCTTTTTATTCCAAATTCGAAGTTGGGTATTTTCTGCCAACTTTTCGAAACTGTAGGGACTCACTTCGAAAATTCTGTATTCTCATCAATGCTCCAAATTCGAAACCGGACCAATTTTGCTATGTTTTCGAATTTCAGGGGTAATATTCGTAACTTTTGGTTTCTTCCACAATTCGTGTTACCAGTGAACGAATGCTTAAACATGGTAACGTACGAAGACTCTTTCTCTCTCCCCTTCGTACGAAACTTCATCCCTTTCGTACGAAATCACCAACACCCTTCGTACATCAACTCCATTCGAACATCAAACCCATCTGTTCTTTTGATTTCAATTAACCCAAATTGATTATCACACATACGAACTCAAGAACACTACTGTCCAATCCTTCAACGATTCGAACCCGATCTCAAAAATCAACAATCGACATCAACGATCAGCTCAACCTTTCGAACATTGACTCCAAAATCAAATTCGATTCGTTAACTGTCGATTTCCAGTTAACATCTTGAACCACTAACGAAATTGTTCAATCCCAAGACTTCGCTTTCTCCTTCACGAATAGACAATCAATCAGCAACCATAAAATACCGATTCCTTTGTTATCAGTTACCGATTTCATCCCCAAACTCAGATTCCTCAATCATTCCAACTCGTCATCTAAAAAGGAATCCATTCACCACTCAAACACATATTTACACAGTCGACCTCAGTAAACATTCAACATCCAAATCCCAATCATCACCAATTGAACCTTTGCTACTCGACACAAGATCAAAATTGACATCACTTCTCATTACGAAATCCATATCATCGATACCAAATACAATTGATTTCAAAACCTTTGCGATCAAGCCTTCGCTTATTTCCAATCCAGTCGATATTCACAAGTCGACATCGACAGCTAATTCGAAATCAACCCATATACAGACTTTCGAAACTTTAATATCTTCATCTACCCTTTCCATACACGAGTTCGATTTTCAAACAACACATTTAACAGTCGTAATTCACTGATGGGAAAAGCAAAATCAATTTTGACTTTCTGTTTGATATGTGTTGACTTCCAAAACAGATGAGAACGAGTGAAATCAAAAGACGAAATCGACCTTCACCCTACACAAATCAATCGACTCCTAATAATCACAGTGACCAGTCGAATTTATCTTTAAACACCTTGAATCAGCAATCGATTTTATCAGTCAAGATAGGAAATCAAACATCGAAATTTAATCAGCTATCGACTTCAAATCAAAACCAGCATACAACATTCAATTTTGATTTCGATTTCAGTAATCTAACAGTCAAAATCGAAATTGATCCCAAAGAACATCCGATGTGAATGGCAACTTTCGATCATCATCAGTTCGTATGAACAAGAACATTTGAGAGTACAAGCACTATAAGCGTGTGATGAGGAACAAACGAAATGCTTCATATCCGATTTCAATTTTGATCGAATCACATTTGGGCTTAAAAACCATACTTATCAGATCATAAAAGAATTGATTGGGCTCAATTGTGAAACAATGATGAACAATATTAAACTGTTTGGGCTCAATGATTTGGATCGAATGAAAAGGTATATTGGTTTAATGTGATTTTCGAAAACAAACGTAGATGAACAGTGACAAAACAAAAAGTAATATTTGATTTTGATTTTTACGATTTAATATAAAAAAAATAATTGGATCAAGCAATGGGATTGAAACTGATTTGATCCAATGAGGCAAATCGATCAATAATGAAAAACGCAAATCACGAATAGAAATCATGGACGTTTTGGAATCCAGTTGAGAATTTGAGATACCTTTTTGACGAATCGAGTTCCGTTTTCAACGAACGAATCAAATTTAGAAGATTTTGGTTCTTTTGTTGGAATGAGGAAATCTCCAATTTGAACATTGTACCATCCACTATGCGAGATGTACAACTCGTTCTTCGTGTTCTTCATTGATCTAAGAACATCTTTAAAAGAACCATCAACACTTTTGGGTTTTGACTTCAAATTCAATGCAACACTTGGAGATTGTTGCTTTGGAACCCAAATTTGCTTCACGGATTTCGGCTTCACAACATTTGACAATTTTTGTGAGTAAACCCGCTTATTTTTGCGATTGATCTTCTTCTTCTTTTTCTTTCTCATCTTTTTGCACCTTGAATACTTGATTTCATGAACAAACCCACTTTCCACAACTTCAAATTTTAGAGTTTGAATCAAATCTTTTGGAGTTTGATACTTGTGAATTTCGTGGATCACCGGCTTTCGATAAGGAATCATTCCTTCAAACGAATCACAAGAACACAAAATATCTTCAGTTTGAACTCCAATCGAGCAAAAAACCTTTTCATCATGAGAATCAACTTGAATCTTCTTATCATGAACTTCAAGAACATCAAGAACATCATATTGAACTCCATAGTCTTGAACTTCAACAAACTTAAGAGCACGAAGATCATTTATGTCTTCAATAAGAGAAACATATTTCTTATTGAACAAATCTCTTTCTTCTCCTTCCTTTTGATTTCTACTATGAACTAATATGGACAAGGCAATTTTATTCAACCATGCAATCTTACAAAGTGGTTGAAATACCAAGCTTCCATGATCATCCTTCAAACCTCCATAAGAAACCATATTACCCCATGAAATCAATTTGCTTAACACCAACCCATAAAATTGATCTTCATTGACTTTGTATTTGATATCTTCAACGATCACAATCCAAGAATCATATGGCAAATCCGCCAAGATCACAAAAACTTGAAGATTTCTAGAGAGAGAAAGTGATTTTGAATGGGTTTTCTAGAGAGAGAAAGTAAAAATCACTTGAATTCTAGTGAAGAAAATCGAATTATGAATAGAATCAAAGATGAATTCGATTTCTAGAATCCAAAAACTCTCTAATCCACGAAGATCCAAGATCAAAAAATGAATCACCAAATCAAGATTGCCACCATGGATCAATTCTTGATGAAATCAAGAACACCCGCTCTGATACCAATTGTAGTGGTGTTGATTATGATGGCATGTGCGGAATTAGAAAGATCTAGTGAATCATCATGTAAAATCAAGAACACAAGGAGTAAATAAATTTGTGTAAGCTCATATTAGATCTAGAAAGGATATACAAAATGAGTTTGTACAAAGTTTCTCTCTCTAGTCTAACACTCCAAATGGTTCCATACATAATGGGAGTCACTCACTTCCTATTTATAGGAAAGACTCAACCCATTTACACATACAAAGAGGAAAGCCTAAAACACTACATCCAAGAGTGACTTTGCACCCTAACAGTAAGGGATATCCCATTCTTCTTAGTTTTCTCCCCATGCTCTTCAATAGCTTGTGGTTGCACAATCTTCATATCTTCTTCCAAAATCCGTGTCAACTCTCGGTAATCCACAATAGGAGATAAATCCATAACCATATCAGGAGCGCAAAAGAAATATACAACAACAACAAATATACAAAATAGAACCATATAATCATAATTATTGGCTTCAAAATAAACTTCTAATGCTAAACAAGCCAACAAAATCAAACACAAACGAATTTCCTATAAAATATCATCATGAAAAATCTGAAAAGGCTTGGTTCGGTTCTTTTTTTTTTACTAGAAAGCAGCATGGATATGTACAAAGACTCAACTTAAATATTACAAAAGAAATGAAAAACAAACATAAACTAATTTTTTTTTTTGATAACTTGATAAATTGACTTTTGAAGAACTCTTTATAAATGACAAATACTTGTTGAGATTTGACTTTGAAATTCGTCATTTTGATGATCTCGCGGTTTTTGACTTTGGAAAACAAATTGGTTTAAAATAACGATAAACTTCTAATATTTACAACTAGAAAACTAGAATGAAAATAATAAACAACTTTAACAACTATTCTTTGGACACATTGATTTGACTTTAAAATGCAAAAAGACTAATGTCGAAAAAGCTGCATAAATCCTATTATTATTATTATTATTATTATTATTTATTTTTTTAACCAAGCGAAGATCATGTATAATCCAACAAAAAATCAATTTGTCTAAACTAAATATTACAAAACAAAATAAAACAAGCATATATACAAACGATCAACAAAATAAACTAAAAACAAAACTAGACAACCAAATGAACTTTTGTGCCTCCTTATGCCTTACCGATTCACACAATAACGTACTCACGGGTATTTAAAAAAAACGCCCTACATTTGATTATCACCTGCTGTGACCCGAATTATTTAAGAGGAGCTGCTTGTCATAATATACCTCAATGCACCGCCACTAAATGAATAGCAAATAAGTGTGTTCTCAATAGTTCTAAAGTTTCACAAATTAGTGACACCACATGTATAAGGTATAAGCAGACAAAACTTTGAACTTGACTATGTATTGCGACAAAAAGTTAAAGGCATTCTAAAGATGAGAAGAAAGAGGAGAGAAAAATTCATGAAATGATCCTAAAAACCTAAATGAAAAAGAAAAAATATTTTTGTATTTTTATTTTTTTTATTTTTTTTTATTTTTTGTATTTTTTTTTACTTTTTTTTAATCATGCAATAAATGAATATGCTATTTTTTTATATGATACACCTTTCCCCAAGCTTAAAAATATGCATCGTCCTCGATGCTTGGGAAGATAGCGGGGACAAATTATTGAGGAGGATCTTGAGGTGGGAATGGAGGAGGATATTGATGTGGAAATTGTGGATTGTATGGTGGGGGGTAATGTGGATATTGAGGGTAATAAGGTGGTCGTGTAGGTTGACCACCTAAACATAGTACCCTATGCATGTCGGTCACAAGGGAATCCACATGTTGGTTACGGGCTTGTTGATTGTCTCTAAAGGTATAAAACTCTTCCCTAAACTCCACCATCTCAGTATTTATCTCACAAACACTATCATAAAGTTCAGAATAGTCACGATGCAAACGCCGATTGTCTTCATGCAACCTACGAAATTCTTGCATATACATGTCATGATGGGGATGCATGACAAGTTCTTGCTGCACTGGAGCAGCAGCATCAGGAATGGGCTCATCCTCATCAGAATCAGGATCAGGCTCGGGCATCGGAACACCTAAATTGGACCTAAGGCGCCACACAGTGTTGTGGATGGGATTGGACAATCGAAGAAGCTGAGAATTATGATGACCGTTCACTTTAAATATCTTCCCGGTTTTCTCACTTGTGATCTCTATTGCACCATGCTCAAAAACATTAGTGACAACAAATGGTCCCACCCAACGGGACCTTAATTTATCTGGAATTAATTTAAAACGAGAATGGTAAAGTAATACCTTTTGACCTGTTTGAAATACTTTGCGTGAAATCATCTTGTCATGGTATGCTTTCGTCTTTTCCTTGTAAAGAACTTCATTCTCGTATGCTTCATTGCGAATTTCCTCAAGCTCTTGTATGTCAAGCTTCCTCTTTTTTCCTGATTCATTTAAATCCATATTGAATTGTTTGACTGCCCAATAAGCTCTATGCTCCAACTCAACGGGTAATCGACATGGCTTCCCAAAAACAATGCGATATGGAGACATCCCAATTGGAGTTTTGTATGCAGTGCGGTACGCCCACAAAGCATCATCAAGACATGTACTCCAATCTTTCCTTGTTGTATTCACAGTTTTCTCCAAGATGCCCTTGATTTGTCGATTGCTCACTTCAGCTTGACCGTTTGTCTGTGGATGGTATGCTGTGGAAACTTTATGAGTAACACCATATTTCTTCAAAACACCCCCGAGCATACGATTGCAAAAATGTGTACCACGATCACTGATTAAGGCCTTTGGAACACCAAATCTGGAAAATATGTTAGCCTTCAAAAAATCTATCACAACTTTTGAATCGTTAGTACGGGTAGCTTTTGCTTCCACCCATTTGGAAACATAATCCACAGCCAAAAGGATATAAGTAAAACCCGAAGATGATGGAAAAGGTCCCGTGAAATCAATGCCCCAAACATCGAAAATTTCACAAACTAAAATGGGATTTAGGGGCATTTGATTCTTTGAATTTAAAGAACCCATCTTTTGACACTTATCACAGCTTGCACAAAAAACATAAGAGTCATGGAAAATACTTGGCCAGTAAAATCCACTCTCTAATACTTTTCTTGCAGTTCGTTGAGGACCAAAATGCCCTCCACAAGCATAAGAGTGACAAAATGCTAAGATAGAAGATACCTCATGTTGTTGCACACATCGTCTAATCATTTGATCAGCACAATATTTCCACAGATATGGCTCATCCCATACATACCTCTTGGCTTCTTTCTTGATTTTATCTCTTTGCCATCGAGTCAAATCTGGTGGAAATTGATTTGTGACAATATAGTTCACAATATCTGCATACCATGGGGCAACTTTTGCTGAAAATAGGTTCTCATCGGGAAATGCATCATGAATGGGAGTTGAGTCATCGGGAGAAACGATCCTGCTAAGATGATCAGCTACAAGGTTTGATTTTCCGCTCTTGTCCTTGATTTCAATATCAAACTCTTGTAAGAGTAATACCCATCGAATGAGTCTAGGCTTCGAATCCTTCTTTGCAATTAGGTAACTAATAGCTTCATGATCAGAATAAACAACTACTTTAGAACCTAGCAAATATTGACGAAATTTATCTAAAGCAAAGACAATAGATACCAATTCTTTCTCAGTTGTTGAGTAATTGGCCTGTGCACTATCAAGTGTTTTTGAGGCATAATAAATGACATGAGGAACTCGGTCTTTTCTTTGCCCTAACACTGCACCAACTGCATGATTACTAGCATCACACATGATTTCGAAGGGTAAACTCCAATCCGGTGATTGAAGTATTGGTGCTGAGATTAACAACTCCTTCAACTGATCAAAACCTTGCTTGCACTCTTTGGAAAATTCGAACTCTGCATCCTTTTGTAGAAGCTCACACATGGGACGAGATATCTTGGAAAAATCTTTGATGAACCTTCTATAAAAACCTGCATGACCAAGAAACGAGCGTACCTCACGAACACAAGTGGGATAAGGTAAAGACTTAATGACATCAATTTTTGCTTTGTCTACCTCTAACCCCTTAGAAGACACAACATGACCAAGTATGAGACCCTTATCAACCATAAAATGACACTTTTCATAATTCAAAACAAGGTTGGTCTCAATACATCTTTGTAAAATCTTTTTCAAATTGTCCAAACACTTATGAAAAGAATTACCATAAACTGTGAAATCGTCCATAAAAACTTCAATGATCTCCTCAACATACTCTGAAAAAATACTTACCATGCACCTTTGAAAAGTGGCGGGAGCATTGCAAAGTCCAAAAGGCATCCGCCTATATGCAAATGTTCCGAAGGGACATGTGAAAGTGGTTTTTTCTTGATCCTCGGGTGCAACGGGTATTTGATGAAAACCGGAATACCCATCCAAGCAACAATAGTGTGTTTTTCCCGCTAATCTTTCCAACATTTGATCAATGAAGGGAAGTGGGAAATGGTCTTTCCGAGTTGAGGAATTGAGTCTTCTAAAATCTATGCAAACTCTCTACCCGTTTTGCACACGAGTGGGGACTAATTCACCTTGGTCATTCTTTATAACAGTAATACCTGTCTTCTTGGGTACAACTTGGACTGGACTTACCCACTTGCTATCCGATATAGGATAGATCATCCCCGCATTCAACAACTTTAAAATCTCCTTTTTCACAACCTCCATCATTGGAGGATTCAAACGCCTTTGAGCTTCTCGGGAAGGCTTGTAATCTTCTTCCATAAGGATCTTGTTTTTCATTATTTCAAGTCAAACTTGTTTTTCTACAGTTTTGACACGCTTTCTTTCTACTTTTGATGTATTTATTGATGTACATGACATTTTTTAAACTAAAAGTAGTTTTTTGAGCTAAGATTAACACATATGAATCATTTCCTCTACTTTGACTTTTAAAGTAAATGGGCTATGTTCAACTTCAAAATGATTTTTTTATCATGTTACCTTTTCTTCTATTGCTACAAATCTTGATTAAAATCATCTATATATACACTCTCGAAAAGTTAAAGATGTCAGTAAAATATTGAATTTGAAAAACATATGCCTTTATCTAAAAGGTCAAACGTTTTCCTGTTTGCAGGATGAATCAGTAGACTATACCAAAAGACAACAATTAAGAGAGCTAGCCATTCTGAATTCGAATTTCAAAGAAGATAGTACTTGACCAAGTGGAAGTATGTCACCATTCAATACAAGTGGCATGGTAGGAAGAGACAAGAGTCACAAATATTAAAAGTTAGCATGAAGTTTGGAGAAGAAATTCAAGTAATAATGTTTCAAATTCTTTTTGCTACTTATGTTATGTTTTTTTATTATTTACTTTGTTTCATATTTAGACTTATTTGATATTTATTTAGACATTGTATCTAAAGAATAAAATACCAGTGACGAAATCAGTGTAATTTTGTTATTTTCCACACACGTATAGTGTAATTAGCTTTTTTATTTTATATTATACTAAAAAAATATTTCGCTATATGTAGTATGCATAAAAAATCGGATGAGCACTTACTAGCACAAAATATGTGCCACAAAATACTTTTCTTGTATTATGGCAAACAAAAAAGTGCCACTAAAAGTAGCATAAATTCTAGAATAACATGGGTATTTAACGGCACAAAATTTTTGCCACAAAATATTTTTCGTTTGTTGTGGCAATTAAAAAAGTGTCACTAATAACCTAAAAAGCTGCAGCGGCAAAATCGAAAAGTATCACTAAAGAATTTTAGTGGGAGCGTTTCTAGTGACATATTTAATTTGTGCCGCTGATTCTTTGAGAGACCTTTAGTGACACTTATTTTGGTATTTAGTGGCACTTTTTGTGTGCCACTAAATGACTTTTTGTTTGTAGTGTCCGGAGCTAGGGTTTTCAAACCTCGAAACCTAGAAGCACCGTCGTAAAGATCTCCGAAGCTAGGGTTTTCAGAACTCGCAATCTCTTTAGATTCTCGGTAGACGGGATGCTTTGTGGTGGAGGAAAGCAACGAAAAGATCTGGAATCCGAAGGTGGTGATGTGATGAAGAGATCTCCGGTTGTTGTCGATTGATCTCCGGCGACAATAATGGTTTCCGACAGCCATAGTGGCGTAAAGAGAGAGGCTGAGAAAAGTGGGTGGGGTGGGTGGGGGTAGTAAGGGTGGGTAGTCCAGGTGAATTTCTTTTTTGTTTTTTTTAATAAGAAAACCAGAAAAAAAATATTTTTGTCTAAATATATTACTGGCTTAGATTTGTTCTCATTTGTTCTCAAATCTGAAATTGTTCTCATTTGAACATATATATATATATATATATATATATATATATATATATATATATATATATATATATATATATATATAGGTTTAGGTTTAGGTTTAGGTTCATTTGAGTTCATGTTAATTTTGTAAAACCGTGAGACAGAATCAAAAAATAAATTTAAAATGCAAAATAAAAGGAAAAATGCGAAAATTATTTTTTTAATTATTATTTTTGTCATTTTATTTACCTAAAAAAATATAAAATAAATAACTAAAAATTACCGTTTTTTTTTGAAAAATAAATGAAATATTTTAATAGAATATTACACTGTAAATCTTCTAATGTGATTTTTAAAATGTAAGAATATTCTAGTATTCTACTAGAATTTGACAGATATATAATATATCCATATATTCTATTAGAATATTCTAATATTCTATTAGAATTTTCTCAGATATTTCGAAAAAACGGTAATTTTTTTATTTTTTTTATTTTCTTGCAAAATATAAATGATGAAGTCTACTGTTTTAGTGCAATGGGCTACTGTTGACTACGGTCAACGACCTGAAGTCTACTGTTTTAGTGCAATGAGCTACTGTTTCCCGACCTGTCTACTCTTTCGTGGCCCATTAGCCTATAATATATAATGTTTTGATTTTCAGATTTGGTTATTTTTTTACCACTTTTTCTTTGGTTTGTCTACTGTTTTCTCTCAATGGAGCACACGAATAACATCGAGGTACGTCTATTTTTTATCGAAATTCTACCATATTCTTGATTAGAAGTAGTTTTTGTAA